TGCCACAGACCTGAACTAAGTCAAGACCAGAACTGCAATTTCTAAGAAAAAAAGAAAGAGCTTCCAAGAAATCTCCAATACTTATAATGTGACTGAAAACCTGGAGACTGACACCTCAACTGTGACTGGGCTTGTTTGTGCAATGCTCACTTTCACTCCCTGCACTATGATTTTCCAGTTAGAAGACTGGAATGAGACAGTATTTGTACAAGTCCTTTGAGAGCTCTAAGTGCTTTGTGATCTACAGAACTAAATTATTTAAATGGTGCTGGTAATCACTCTATTTGAACTTAAGCTTTCTTTGTCCTCACCAAATCAATAAATATCTTGGAAGAAATGAGACAGAAATGTGACAGATATGTTTGCACGCATTCATGTTTATCCTAGCAGTTCAAAAAGATGGTGTTTTGATTGTACCAGCATGTCTTGGAGATGCAGTAAGAAAGTTCATTATAAAAAAAGCATTTCTCTCAGTAAATCTTCTATTAACTGTATCAAGAAAAAGTCTTCTGAATAAGTGCTGTCTAGTAAGTAAAAGTCAGGAGAACACTTAGGGGTTTAGATAGTGTTTCTGATGAGAAAGCAACATCATTCCTATTTGGAGATATTTCCAAAGGGAAAAATTTTAATCAGTAGAGATAGTAGTAAGCAGTGAGACAGTTAAAAGTGCTTTTAACTGGTGAAAAAGGTGAAGGAAAGCAGGAAGACAAAAGAAACAAACAAATGTATAAGCCATTTCACTGTGCATTAATGAATTAGGAACAAAATAGTTTATGGACAGTAACCTTAAATTCTTGAAAACCAAGTATTGTCAAGGGAGTTATTCCACAAAAGGAGTACTAAAGAAAGATGCACCTATATGAGGAACATTTCAGTGACTTATACTCCCTACCAAACACAAGATGTTGCAAGTTTAACTGTAAACAGAAAAAAAAAAAAAGCTCTTCTCAGTTTAGTAACTGTTAACTTAGAGTTCTTTATTTATAAAGCTAATCCACTTTTGACAAAACAATTTTTATATCTCTGCTAGAATCAAATACCAGCTACTCATCGGAGAATCCTTCAAAACTGGAAGAATTTAAAAATAAATTTTAAAAGTCTAAAACTATCTGTTATCCCAAGTGAAAGCAAATAAGGGGAAAAGAGCCCAGAGAAATGGGTGTAGGGCTGGTAGTGGCAGACTAAGGTAGCTTTCATTTCTACAGCCAGACAAAAACTTACACAAAGATCTTTGCATTTTCTTGATTTTACACGGTGTTTAAGGGTTAAAGGCCATATATAATGAAGGACATTTGTCTTATATATAGGGCATGGGAGTTTGGGAGGGTGAGTTTCTTCTTAAGTTGGCTTATAACTGAGTTCTATGCTATTCATACAGGCTATATGTAGTTCTGTACTTTCCCCTTTCTCAGATATATCGAATGACTAAATCAAATTTAATTCCCGGCTTTCCCAAACTTTTCTGCATGCAGCTTGTTTACAGTCTCACGTCTGTGAGTTCAGAATAGTGATCTGATATCCAAAAAGGCAACAAATTCTCATGTTTCACAAGAAATCTGTTTCCTACCTTATGTGGCATATGGCCCAACTGTACACACCGTTAGTGAATTTTAAGTCTACCATCCTCCTGTTATACTTCTATTACAGTTTTGAGACCTTTCAAGCTCATAAAAGATAACAACTTTCCAAGATTTTTGGGGAAATTTAAACTTTTACAAATGCTATAAACTATCAGCATTAAAATAAAGAACAAATTCATTATCCAAATCAGGATTCACAATTCAGCAAGAAAATTATTTGGCCTTCTAGAGTTTTCCTACACATTTTTCAATAGTCACACGTGATTAGTCATCCTGAACTGATAAAAGACCTTACGTTTGGTGCAGTTCAATATTTTTACTTTGCTAGCTATATTTCCAAGTCCACCATCACTCTTACCCTAGCCAGCCTGTTTGTTAAACTACAGAGCATCACTACTGTTGAGTGAATTTTTAAAGAACCATAAAGAAACCAAATAATTTCTTTTTTTACAAGCTTGTGATTTATGATTCCAAGTCATGAGTTTATTTATCAGTTTCTCATCAAAGGTTATAAAAACCAGAGAGATGTAATATAAAACCAAAACTGGAAAGCCCATGGTTCACATTGCAAAGTGGGCTTCACAGTAAGCAAGCACAGATGAGATCCTGCAGGAGTAAAACAAATTTGCTGGGGGACACATGCAAAAAATACAAAACAGGAACTTTTGGGAGACTTATGTTGAAAAAAAATAAATAAACCCCAAACAAACCAAATCAAAAGAAAAAAGGATGACATAGGTGGCAAAGGAAGTGGAAGTAACTGTGACAGAAGCAGAGAGGAAGAGGCCACCCTCAGCAGCTCGATAATTCCTACTGTGCAAATCAGGGGAGAATTTGGGGATATGAAGAGAAGCATTAGACAAAACAACTCATACAGACAGGAATAAACATCTCAATTAAAATAAATGAATTACAGTAATAACCAACAAAGGCAACAGAGAGACAAAACTCCTAGACATTTACAGAGTTGAAACAACAACAATCCCAAAATATTTTCCTTTGAAGCAAACTTGAGGCAGGTCAAAGGTGGCATATTTCCAACAGGGTGATAAAAAAGGACTCCAGAACTAACAAGGATCAAAATCAAATCATAACCTTTATCCCATGGGATTTGCTAATCAAACCCTCTTCTTAGAGAGTTCATCCACATGTTAAACAAGCAGAAAAGAAGATGCAGATGCTTTGCTAGCAGGAGAGAGAAGACAGATCACATCATTACAGGACTGCTGAAACTCCCTAAGTGTAAAGTATGACAACTGAAGAATTACAGGCCCCATGCTTGAAGAAACGCACAGGAATAGTCCCTAACATGGAATTAATATTAGAATTTCTTGTTATATGCTGTAGACACCAGAAACTGAAATCATTGGGAAAAAACCAAAATAAAACAAACAAGCTATAGACTAATATGGGTACAGAAAGGTACTGCATAGGTTCTTAAGTTCAAAGTTCTTGAACCACATATAGGCTCAAGGCAGGGAGTGTATTCTGGGGGAGGTTTGACCATGAGTTTGTCCTGTTCCTGAACTCTTCTACAAGCTTCCACTGTTAACTATCACTGGGGACAGGGTAGAAAAGTAGGTACAAATTCCGTTTGATCCAGTAAACCTATTGTAATAAACCAGAGCTTATTTCCCTCAGTGCTAGCTAAACTCATCAACCAACAGGTAGATCAAAGTGCCAAAATCATGAGCTAGAGCTCTTCAGCAAAGAACTCCTGTGAGAAAAACGAAAAATTCTTTCCATGCTGAAGAATACCTCAACTTCAAACAAACACACACCACCAAATATTTACCACAAGCAATGCTGACCTTGAGACCCCAAAGGACCAACACCACAAAAACACCAAATCTATTTGTGCAAACAAGCAGGTGTGCATGGACAACTTGCAGATTTCCTCTCCTGTTAATAAAAGTGATTGTGCAAGTCAGACACAAATCACAGCAGACTGCACCAACAGTTCTCTGATTCTACTCCAGGCTTATTTTTGTTTAAAAATAAACAGGTTTACACATGATTTCAATATTCTGCCGAATGACCAAGCAAAGGAAAGAATGAATTTAAGTACAGTCTATAGAGAGCTAATGTGAAGGCTATAGCGTAAGTGAAAAATGGCCATGTCACTAAGATAAGGCCCCAACCACCAATCTCATTGTCAAGTCTGGCCATCTGTCAGCACAAACCTGATTTACTGCATATAATGCTGCTATATTTGATCACTACTATACTGCTATAAAAGGCTCCTGGGTTTTTTAAGCACACCAAAAGCTACTTTCTAGCAACATAAAAGGGTTAATAAAACACCTCCTCAGAAGCCAAGTTTTATGGAACCAGGTTTTAGAACTTTAAATCGAATTTTACCCAGTTTCAATACCATTGATAGATTAAATTTATTTATAAATAAAAACATTAAAAACAGGGAAACAAAACCCAAAGAAAACATAAAATGACAGTAAATTACATAGGTTTCACCATACAAGTAAGGCTGCTTGCACTGATGCTTGTTATTTCTGGACATTATTTTGATGGTTAGCAATTGCAAATGACTTTAGAAAAGGTACTTTTAAGAAACATCCGTACAATACTACTATTCAATAAAACCATTAATAAAGCAGTCACTTCATTTGATAACCAGTCTGGACATCCAAACTGTTTGAAAGGGCACTAATGACCTGAAGCATCCTTAGACAAGGGCCTGTAAGCACATAACACCTTATGGTGTAACAACTCGTCTGAGTGCAACTAATCCAACTCTTCCCACTCCTACACACCAGGACAAAAATGCCCAGGTATGAGATTCATCTTTCACATCAAATACCCACTGAGCAAAACAGCTGCAGGTACTTTCTCAGGTTAATCAAACAAATCAAATAACAGCATCTAGTAATAACAAGACAATTTCCCCCCTCCAAACAACAGGCCTACACTGCAGGTGGTTTTGTCCCATGGCAAGCAAACAGGATAAAAACATGTCCTGAGCAGCTGCTCATTAGGTGAGCACCATTCTGCCTGCACAGCAAATGAAGCAAATGTCATGTGGAAAAAACCACAGTTTACGGTCATGTAATTAAACAGAGTAACACAGGCATATACAAAAGAGGAGGGAAGACAAGTACAAATTACAGTGCACAGGCAATTTATTCCTGGGAGTTTATAATTTTTGATGTTCCTGGACTTTAACCTTACCATTTCTTTTAACAAGGCTTGTTTCCAGCTTAATTTTTCCTGTTATACAATAACAGATAACTTTGAACAATCACCCGCTATAAAAACTACCCATCCCCAAATAATTATTTATTTTGAATAGAACACTTATGGACTCCAGGAGAATACTCTATCAGAACAGGCCAAAGCAAACACAAACTGTATAGGACCTTGCAGTAAATGTTACAGAGCAGGACAAATTTATTGCAAGCTTACCTGATACTCATTGGGCCAGAAAGTGCTGACAGCCAACTCCGCTCGAAGCCAGTCTTTGCCAGTGGAGCCAGTGACATTCCAGATGGGATTAGCCAACGGCCCTTTGTTCACCCTAACCAGGATGTTCAAAGTGCCTGGGTTTGCTCCACTCTTGCTGTACAGAAGGTAGCTGAAATCGATGCAGTGAGTATCATTTTCTTTCATCGTTGGAAGCTGAAGTCGAGTCTTTTCTCCAGGATCATGGTCTGAGGAAATCACTATCATATATGATCCTAAAGAAGAGGGGAGTGGGAAAGGAGAAAAAAAAAAAAAAAACAGCAGTAAGGAAAAATATAAATGCTTAGAAATTGATTGTTCACTGTGAAAAGGATGAAATACACAAGTTTTCAAATCTCAGAAATTCCAAAACTCAAGTAGCATGAAGTCAGGAAGCTATAAAAATACCCAGAAACATCACTGAAGCAGCATCTACAGAATATATCACATATTTCTGAGGGCCTATCTAGATGTTTCCACCTACAAACATTTCTCTCTCCTGTTTCAAGATCAGATAATTGGAAATAGAATCACAAGTGGACTGAAAAAAAAAAAAAAAAAAGACGAGAGAAGTAAAGGATAATCGTTATTCTGACATCACTGAGGCCAAAATTATCTCAACTTGCTCTGCAGGTTTCCTGAAAACAAAAATAATGGAATAACAACATGCACATTCCTCAGTGCTGCTTTATTGCACTCTTTTTTACCTCCCCCAAAAAAAGAGGCAGACTTTAATTTTAACTACATTAGCAATGGAAATAACTCACTTAAGACACCACACCAAATTTCTTCTAAAAAGTTGGGTTTGCTACTCTGTTTGCCAATGGATTTGAGGGGATAACAGAAGTTTCTCTAGTTGGAAGAGAGCCCATCTTGTAAATGTGTATTACAAGTATACATAAGACAAAACAAGCTGAGCCTGTCTAGTTACAAAGGCAGAAAGTGGAAATCATATGCTTCAACAGACTATACAGGACATAATGATGAAACAGTCTGCCCTGCTGCTCTGCATAATGCATGGTAAAGAAAGACTACCATCTAATCTACCCCTAGAGCTGCTCCATTTCTTCAAAAGCAACAATTCCATACCATGTACTATCTAGTGAATGAACCCCATAGAACAAAGCTTGCTAGACAGAGCACGCCACGCAAAACCTTGCAACCAAGTAAGAACACAACTCAGCATACAACCTGAATCATTGCTACAGGAAAATTTCCTAACCTAAATTTACCTACCCATCTGCTTAATGATTCCAGAACCTTCATGTTGACAGACTTTCCTTCTACGTTCCATCCTAAAGAGCACCACAATAAAGAGCCTTTCCTCCAGAAGAAAGTTCAGATTAAACCCATGAAAAATACAGCCTAAAAAAGTGACAGATTTATGAATGTTTGCCAAATTAGTAGTCTCACAGAAGTTCTGGGCATATGTACATGAATCAGCATTTATTGGTGCAAAATCTTCTCTGAAGTATATTCCTATAAATTATTATTTTGTACATCAAGTTTTGTCCTCTGGTTTTTAGGCAACAAGAAACTATTGTGTTCTAGTATGTCCTGAACAATTGTATTAACCATTCTGAAAATTGTTGGCAAGCTGTTGCCCTGAAAAAAATGAAAATTTATGTATAAGCATTGTCATCTGTGTGAGATGCTAATTTACTAGCCTCTAAAGCAATTATGTGCAGAAAAACCCTGGAACAAAAGAGAAAGCAATAGTACAGAATGAAAACTGCTCTTATTGAAGCATGGTGCACTGAAATCTTTTTTTTAAACATTCATCTTCAGAACAAAGGTTCAAAGAAAATTCTAATAGAATGTAACAGCTATTTTGTATTTAGAATTATATGCAGAATCCAATATTGGATTTATTTTTTTATTAGAGAATTTGGCAAAGTAGCAGTTCCTGGTTAATTCTTCACATTTAACAGCCATTTACAAAGACACAAAGGAATCATATTATACTAAATTTACTGTTATAGTATGTCTTTAAAGATTATGGTCTAGAATCCATTGACAATTGCCTGAACATAGCTCAAAAAAATTGTTTGCCAACAACATCTAGTGGTGTGCAGTTTTTATGCCCCTTGACTCTAGAATAAACTTAGTAATATGCTTGTTTTTAATCTCCATTTTAGTAATAAATATGCTTTTATAAGCACCTGATGATTACTCATGATTGAGAGACTAGAGATTAAGATTTTCAAAGTTTTTTTACTATATATTTCACATGTGGCAGGGGGAGGCTGTATATAAGCAAATTGTTTTGTTTTTACAGAGACTGCTTTCCACACTTAGCACTGATTCTCCATAGCTGTCTAAATTGCCTTTTAGACTGTTACAGTTATCTTGCAAACATTTTTAAGCAATACACAAAAAGCTACTTATTTTTCCTACAAAAAAAATAAACACTTTTAACATTTCTAAAGCTAAAATACAGAAGCATATAAACCCTCCAACTTTTTTCTGAAGATAATCTGGCAGGGGAAAGGAAAGAACAGAATACATAAATTGACCTTTGCCGGTTTTTTTGAAGTGTTGTTTCAATTTATCTCAAGATAAAGCCAGTGCAGAGGAAAAGAAAATCACAATCAAATAATAACAAATGAACTAGAAGTATTTAAAGACCTTGTTTCTATACTAAAGTAATCTGTTCTAGACTTTGGAAGTTTCAACATAAATTTTTCTACGTATCAACATATTTTATAGCACTCCACTTTTTCAAACTCATTTTTCATCATTGTAAAATATTTGGCAGCAAATTTGCATATACCTATCTACATGTTAGTCATACAGCACTTCACGAAATGCTCCAGGCAGTATTCATGGACCATTTATCACAAATCCAAAGGATCTGTTCAGCACCTTGCAAACTACTTGCCCTCTCCTGCCATTTTTAAACTTAGGAAGGTATATTCCATGAATGTACATAATCTCGCTCTGTCTCCTCTTGGAATACCCTCTTGGAATGTTATCTACACATTCCAACAAAGTCAGAAGCCAACAATGCAGTAAATTGGATAGCAAAATTATATCTTTGGAAAATATACAAAATATTTTCTTACACCTTTTGTAAGAAAGTCATTCTTTATTTGAAAAGAAATATTATAGGATTGAAAGAGTTAGGAGTTTAAAGTTCCCATTTATATACACTTCTAATATCTGATTAATTATTAATAACTATATTATTGTGAAATCTTAATATATTATTGGACTGGGCAGAAATGCAAAGTATAAATGACACAAATGGTCACAAATCTCATTAATCCCGAAGATTAACTAACTGTTTGAGATATTCAATGAGAGTTGTGACGTAACTCCAGCCAGTAAGCAAACACCATGCAGCTACTCACTCACTCCCTCGCCAGCAGGATCAGGGAGAGAATCAGAAGTGTAAAAGCTAGCAAAAAAAAAAAAAACAAACTAAAAAAAAAAAAGTGGTCTCCTTGTCTTTTTCTTAAACCACCTTACTTTCCCACCTTGTGCTGTTGAGGACGAAAGCAATAAAAGGGTTGGGTGGGATTCTGGTCATGGTCAACACATCACAGTTGCCAAAAAGGTAAAGAGCAGCAGTTAGATAGTATCAACTATCCAGGTGTTTTATTAAATCCCAGTAAAGACAGACTTTGTGTGCATGTTTTTCCATTGTTATTGGTCTAAGTCAAGCAAAAGCAAATGTAAAACACTATACACCTACTTCCCTTGCAAGCAAGAAAGACAAAAAGCCAACTAGTGTGCGTTCTGCTTCCACTAATATTTTACAAGAAGAAAGTCAGTGCAAGTGAGTTGCTTCATTAAATCCCAAAATAGTAAAAAAAAACCCCAACAACAACAATCAAAAAAAAAAAAAAAAAAAAAAAAAAAAAACAAACCACCCCACACCAAAAAAACACCTAAAAAACCCCAACCAACATATATGGGGAAATGAAGAAAGAAAAACTTAACATGAAGGAGCAGAAGTTCCTTTTTTCTTTTTACAAGACAGAAAAGATGAATTTCATCTTTGGATGACGCTATAAAGAAATGAAAGAAGAAAAGTATCCAAAGTCATCATTTATGCCTGGACAAAGAGCCATTGCTCTTAACTATTCCTTTCACTGCCTATTTTTCACTGAGCTCAAGTATGACGTCTTTAGTTACTCTGGCAGTAATGCAGTTACAAAATGCATCACAACTCATCAGTAGCATATTTGACACTGATGTTGCTTCATCCTTGTTTCAGTATTTTCCAGAAGAGTCCTCCCTATACTTGTAAGTTTACAGTCTTTAAAATTCATAAAGTATGTTCT